TGATAAATCTAGAAGTATTGCCAAAATTTGATTGCATTAATTCTAAATGTCAAATATGTGTGGAATCAAAGTATGCTAAGCATCTTTATAAGTCCGTTGAAAGGAATTCAAGTCCTTTAGACTTAATTCACACAGATATTTGCGACATGAAGTCAACACCATCTCGCGGTGGGAAAAAGTATTTTATTACTTTTATTGACGATAGCACGAGATACTGCTATGTTTATTTACTTAATAGTAAAGATGAGGCAATTGATGCTTTCAAGCAATACAAGAGTGAAGTTGAAACGCAACTAAACAAAAAGATCAAAATGATAAGAAGTGATAGGGGTGGCGAATATGAATCTCCTTTTGAAGAAATATGTTTGGAAAATGGCATTATTCACCAAACAACTGCCCCTTACTCTCCACAATCTAATGGAATTGCGGAGAGAAAGAATCGAACATCGAAGGAGATGATGAATGCGTTGCTGATAAGTTCTGGCTTACCACAAAACTTGTGGGGGGAAGCTATACATACAGCTAACCGAATAATCAACCGTGTACCTCATAGTAAAACACAATCCATTCCTTATGAGAAGTGGAAAGGAAGGAAGCCTAGCTTGAAATACTTCAAAGTGTGGGGGTGTTTAGCTAAGGTACAAGTTCCTAAACCTAAAAGGGTTAAGATAGGTCCAAAAACGGTTGATTGTGTGTTTATTGGATATGTAACCAATAGCAAGGCATATCGGTTTCTGGTTCATAAGTCAGAAAATCCTGAGATTCACGTTAATACGATAATAGAATCAGATAATGCTGAATTCTTTGAAACTATTTATCCGTATAAAAAGGAAAGTGAAGTGACCTACCAAAAGTCAAAACGACCTCGGGAGGAAATAATAGATGGTATGCCTAATGAGGAAAATTCGAGAAGAAGTAAACGTCAACCTCGTACCTTCAAGGAAGCAATGTCTTCCTCAGAGGCACAATATTGGAAAGAAGCTGTCAATAGTGAAATAGAATCCATATTGAGCAACCATACTTGGGAATTGGTTGATCTTCCTCCAGGTAACAAAACGTTGGGTTCTAAATGGATTTTCAAGAAGAAAATGAAAGACGATGGTACTATTGACAAATACAAGGCAAGACTTGTTGTCAAAGGATTTAGACAACGAGAAGGTCTTGACTATTTTGACACATACTCGCCGGTAACAAGAATTACATCCATTCGGATGCTAATAGCGTTAGCCGCCTTGTATGATCTTCAAATCCATCAAATGGATGTAAAAACAGCCTTCTTAAATGGTGATTTAGAGGAAGAAATCTACATGGACCAACCTGAAGGGTTTGTGGTTCCAGGAAAAGAAAAGAAGGTGTGTCGACTTGTTAAGTCTCTTTATGGACTAAAACAAGCACCCAAGCAATGGCATGCGAAATTTGACCAAACAATGTTTTCAAATGGCTTTAAGATTAATGAAAGTGATAAATGTATTTACATTAAGAACGTTCCAAATCATGTAGTCATTGTTTGCTTATATGTTGATGATATGCTAATAATGAGCAAAGACATTGCCGACATTCAAGCTACTAAACGCATGCTTGCTAGTAAGTTTAATATGAAAGACTTAGGAGTTGCCGATGTAACTCTAGCAATAAAAATCCAGAGGACTCCTCAAGGTCTAGCTTTGTCTCAATCACATTACGTGAAAATGGTATTTGAAAAATTCAAACACTTGGAATTTAGAAGTGCAAGAACTCCAATTGACTTAAATCATCATCTCATAAAGAATAAAGGTGAAAGTACGTCTCAATTGGAGTATGCTCGCGTGTTGGGAAGCTTAATGTACATCATGAACTGTACACGACCTGATATAGCTTGTGCGATAAGTAAACTTAGTCGATTCACAAGTAATCCCAACAAACATCACTGGGTAGCAATGAAACCAATTCTGGGATATTTGGAATATACCCAAGACTACGCTTTGCACTACAATAAATATCCTGCGGTTATCGAAGGATGTAGTGATGCAAATTGGATAACCGGCTCAACAGAAACAAAGTCCACAAGTGGATATGTTTTTACTGTTGGTGGAGGAGCAGTATCTTGGAAGTCTTCCAAACAAACGTGCATTGCTCGCTCTATAATGGAATCAGAGTTTATAGCTTTGGATAAAGCCGGTGAAGAAGCTGAATGGCTTCGAAATTTTTTAGAAGACATTCCATTCTGGCCAAAACCTTTGGCTCCTATTTGCATACATTGCGATAGTGAGGTTGCAATAGGACGGGCAGGGAGCGTTATGTATAACGGAAAGTCTCGTCATATACGACGAAGACATAACACCGTTAGACAACTACTTTCTAGTAGAATTATCACTATTGATTATGTAAGATCAAAGGATAATCTGGCGGATCCGATTACAAAAGGCTTAACTAGAGAGGGAGTTGAGAAATCATCTAAGGGAATGGGACTATGGCCGAGGACAAGTCAACATGGCGGTAACTCTACCTAGAATTTTGGATGTTCCGATATCTAGGTTCAAGGAGCTCAAACAAAGTTGTCATTGACCGGTTCAACATTGTCAAAATAAAATCTTTGGTCCATTCTCGTGATGAAGACAATGTTCAGTAACAAGGATAGAACTTTACACGTTCTTTAATGATTACCTAAGTTTGATGAGGTATTTATCAAATAGTGTCAATCTAAAGGATTACACATTTAGGAATCACCTATGTAAGTGTGAAGTGGAAGCCGCTTCAATGAGAATTTTGTAAGGCCAATTCTCTACGCACTTATGAAACCAGGCGGTGTTCATGGCTAAAACGAACACAACAATGAGAACCAAAAGAAGGTTAAGGGTTGGTTGTGTGACATATGGTTGTCTAGGTATACACTAAAATTCGATGGTTCAAAGATATCAAATCTACCGATTGACCGAGTATATCCGACATATGTTCACTACGGAAAGTTCAAAGTGAAACCTACTTATCCAGATGCAATTAATCCTTACTTGCAAAATCACATAGCTTTCATCTATGATCTTTCTTGATACAGCCATTCCCATTCATGTGGGGGATTGTTGGACTTTAAGCCATTGGGCTTTAAAGTAGAAGAATTGTGAATTGGAAATGGAGGGAAATAAAATGGAGGGAAATTAAAAATTTGAAGAAGTGAACTTTTGTCTTGCACTTTGTCCCTCATTGGTGAGGGACAACCACATTTGTGTGCTTATATATAGAATCACTTCTTAAAGCTCTTAAAAGGAGTTGAAGAAAATGAACCCTCGCGCTGTCGTCGTCGCTCGCTCGGCTCGACTTCGGCTTTGGTTTTGGATTTGGATTTGGATTTGGATTTGTCAAATGATCGATCGATAAGATTATTTTTGGACAAAATTTATTTAATTATTTAATAATTAATTAAATGCCAAATCACTGCTGAAAATACGCCAGAACCCTGCTGAAGGTTCAGAGGGCCTCTCTGACCGCGGTTCTGCCACGACCGCGGTAGAACCGCGACAGGCAGCGTATTCTTCTGAAAAGGCACCTTTTCCAAACACCTCTTCTGATAATTGCCTATAAATTCTGAGGCAAGGCTCCATTTTCTACACACCAAAAATACTCCAGAACTTCTTTCTTTCTGAATATACTGCATCCTAATTCGCAGTCTCTCTCTCTCAAATTCGTAAGTGTGATTTTGCTCCGTTCTTTGAGTTCGTTGGTATCCTGCAGTTTGTATTGCCACTGTTGCAGGAAGGTTTATTCCGTTTTATCCTGGGAGGATTTAATCCATTACCTTGGCAACGTGTGAGGGGGTTAAAATTCCTTAAGGACACACAAGAAAATTGTGGACTCGGAATATTTCTTAAACTCTTCTGTTTTTCCAGTTTCTTCTATTTTTCTAACAGTTTTTTCCTGATTTTTGGTTTAACACAGTAACGCTCACAGTGGGTGCTTCCGTCGTTATGATTAATCTATACATGTTTTAGTTGTTCTCTTTTCTGTAATAGCAGTTACTTGGTTACAATATGTCTTCTAGAATAAATATAGACAATTAATTGAATTGTCTTATTAGTTCACTGTTTTGAATCTCAAAGTATAAGATCTGTTGTAAGAATATTTCCTACAAGTTTAAATGAACTTTGTGCATTTGCATGACAATTAGAGATCAATTAATTTAATATGAACAAAAGGGTTGCTAAACCCACGTAATCAATCATGGAAGTAACTATTGTTGTCTTTTAACTGATGTTGCCTTATTTCCCTTCGTTTGGATCTAAGTTATGTTTGTTATTAAGAGGCAATTTTCTCTTGAATGTGTTTATGAATCTAAATTGTGAAAAGGTGTTGGTAATCTGAACAATGTTAAAGATTCATGTAGTCCCGATCAATTTCTCTGAATCACAAGTGTTTCGTGCATAAATTAAGTTGCTTTGGTTATCATGTTTTGTGTACGTTATTTAATGCCCACGATTCTGAAGTTAACACTGAATGCTCCCTTCTCATATTTTTGCCAAATCTACTGGTTTTTGCCTTTAAATATGAGAAAGGGGTAGTTAAATATTTTAAATTAAAATATATTTTACAACTATGATGTTGTTTAAGTTCTTATAATATTAATTCTAAGAATTAACCTTTGGGGTAATATAGCATCCTGCTTATATTTAAAGCCAATCAATATTTTGCTTAAGTTGATATTTAAAGTTAATTATTCTGTGATGTCATTTTGTGTTATCTTTTGTGTCATGTATTTGAGAGTAGCCACAACATCTTGAGTACTTGACATAAAACAAATAAAGTTATTTAATCACATAAAGTTTGGTGGATAAAATTTACAATGACATCTATATGGTCCAATTATCTCATTAAAATGGTAACCCGGCCCTACAGGGAGGTAACCATTTTGGTGAGATTGATTGGAATGAGATAGTAAACCTTTAAGTTAAAATTATCTTATGCCCACAGGCACGGATAACTTTTTTATGTATTTTGGTTTACTAGTCTAATAAAGTTGGTAAATTCTATGCATGGGTTGCAACCTCTGCCCACAGGAAGGTCTAGAATTTACTTAAAATCGGTATTTTACGCGATTCACCTTTGATGGATTGTACGTCATAGCTTATGTATGTTTATCCTTGTTTTGTAGTCTTTACCGCTTTTCCTACCGCTATTTTTAATGAGAATGCTCGAATTCCAATGCTTTCTGGTGACAATTATGCTGAATGGAAGGAGAAAGTCCTTCTCACTTTAGGGTGCTCGGATCTAGACCTGGCACTCCGTGTGGATGAACCACCTATTCTCACGGAATCAAGTATGCCAGCTGCTAAGGCTAATTATGAGCAGTGGGAGCGATCTAATCGCTTAAGTTTAATGCTCATAAAAGCTCACATAAGCCAAAGCATTAGGGGTTCTATCCCTAATAGCGATAAGGTCAAAGCTTACATGAAGGCAATTGATGAACAATTCATAAGCTCTGACAAGGTATTGGCCAGCACCCTTATGAAGAGGCTCTCAAGTATGACTTTCAACAAAAGTCGTATAGTGCGTGAGCACATTATGGAGATGAGAGACATTGCTGCTAAAACTCAAGTCCCTCGAGGTTGATATGTCTGAACCATTTCTTGTGCATTTCATTCTCAACTCACTTCCTGCGGAATATGGTCCGTTCAAGATTTCTTACAACACACATAAGGATAAATGATCAATCAATGAACTTTTGACCATGTGTGTTCAAGAAGAAGAGAGGTTGAAGCATGAAACACCTGAAAGTGTTAACATGGTGACTCATGGTAAGAGAAATGCAAAAAAAGGGCAAAAGTGTTCCCATGAAGAAGAAAAGCACCTTTGACAAAGATGCTTGTCGTTTCTGTAAGAAGAAGGGACACTGGAAGAAGGATTGCCTGAAGTACAAGAAATGGCTTGAGAAGAAAGGCAATTTTACCTTTGTATGTTATGAATCTAATTTTACTGAAGTTTCTGATAATACACGGTGGATTGATTCTGGTGCTATAATTCACATAGCCAAAATCATGCAGGGCTTTCTAACTCAGAGGAAACCGATAGGAAGTGAACAATACGTCTATTCTGACAATATGACGCGTTCACGTATGGAAGGCATGGGGACTTATAGACTCATTTTGAAGGATGGTTTTCGCTTAGATTTAGAAAATACTTTTATGTTCCAGAATATTCTAGAAATTTAATTTCTCTTTCAAGACTATCGATTAGTGGATATGATTTCAATTTTCATTATCCTTCTGTGAAACTTTTGAAAGATAATAAAGTTATTGGTTTTGAAAATTTGAATAGAAATTTATATAAACTTGAGCTAGACCCCACATCCGAATGTAATATTCTAACTTTGCATGATAAAGGAATTGGCACTAAGCGATGTATTATCAATGAGAATTCATCAAGTCTTTGGTATAAGAGATTGGGGCACATCTATATTGATAGAGTCAAAAGGTTGGTTAATGATGGAGTTCTAAAAGCTCTTGATTTTTCTAACTTTGAGACTTGTGTGGACTGCATAAAGGGTAAGCAGACCAACAAATCAAATAAAGGTGCGAAAAGGAGTTCTCGATTGCTTGAGATCATACATACAGACATATGTGGACCTTTTCCTACCCCTTGCTTGAATGGTGAGAGATATTTTATCTCGTTCGTTGATGACTATTCAAGATATATGTATCTCTATTTTCTGTTTAATAAATCAGAAGCACTTGATGCTTTTAAAGTTTACAAAATAGAAGTAGAGAAACAAATGGATGCTCAGATCAAAATTGTAAGATCTGATAGGGGTGGAGAATATTGCTAATATTAATAAGCAACTTTATTTGTTATATTCATTGAGATATTCTTTTTTTCCTTAAAAGTCTAGTCAAAATTATTACTCCTAATTAATGCGCCCCATTTTTGGACTAGCTTTTCACATTAATCCATCTTGTAAACATGGCATATTTAATCAAATAGCATAGGGTGAAATTCAAAAATAGCTAGATTTACAACTGGTCGTTCAAAAATAGCCCAGTTTTAAAAGTAATCGATATTTAGCCACTTTTCATGTAAAGATAAATCTGAGCGAAAACACTGTTCAAAACTCGGAAAATATGCCAGCATATTATGCTGGAGTTCCAGCATAAGTATACTTGAACTCCAACATATTATACTAGAGTTCCAAGATAAGTATGCTGGAACTCCAGCATAATATGATGGAGTTCCAGCATAAGTACACTAGAACTCCAGCATAATATACTGGAGTTCCAGCAAGTATATCGGTTCAGCATAATATACTGAAGTTTGGATCACCGGTGCTCCAGTCTCCAGTATATTATACTGGAGCCAGCAAAGTATACCGGTCCAGCATAATATACTGGAGTTCATACACAGGTGCACCGAACTCCAGTATATTATGCTGGACCGATCTCTGCTGCAGCAAAATAGTGGCTATTTTTCATTGACTTGGTAAACGCTGGCTATTTCTGAATGACCAGTCCGAAAACTGGCTATACCGTGCTATTTTAACAATAGCATAACATAGTAATTTAAAAGGTTAATTACTCCTATTGTTTTACACATTGGTAATATAGGTAAGGATGTTGAAAAAATTAGTACATACGCAGAGCCGTCGCAGCGGAAATTGAACGAGGAACGTACCTTCAGTCATAGTTGTTCAAGTGATGTTGAATCGCCTTGTAAAACTTTGACAGAAAACCAAGGGAGCCTTCTAGCCTGTGCCTATCGTAGGATGCTAGACTGATGGAGTCACAGGCGTATTTATAGGTAGGCTAGGGACTCTTAGGCAAATACTTTAGCCCTAGGGACTTCTCCTTAAATTATAACTACCATAGGGACTCCTAATATATGGTAATTTCTTTCCATCAAAGAAACTACCATATATGCATAACTACAGAATATTACCTGATATATTATTTCATTTGGGAGACAAGGTAAATAATTTATTAACTTATATGTGGGTCACACTAGAAGTCTCTATGTGATGACCCAAAAGGTCATCACTTGTTTTTTTTAAAGTAAATTCTGCATTCCGAGGCCTTAAAAACCTCTTTCAGCATCACCTCGATTTGCGTGCGCAGTCCGGACGCGTAGCCGGAAAGTCTATATGTGAAAATCTATAAAAAAAAATGATAAAATTTGGTTATAAAATGAATTAAGTTGACTTTGGTCAATATTTTGGGTAAACGGACCCGGACCCGTGATTTGACGGTTCCGGAGGGTCCGTAGGAAAATATGGGACTTGGGCGTATGCCCGGAATCAAATTCCGAGGTCCCAAGCCCGAGAAATGAATTTTTAAAGAAAATTATTTTCTGAAATTATTTATGAGATTTGGAAATAAATTGTGATTAGAACTTGATGGTATCGGGCCCGTATTTTGGTTCCGGCACCCGATACAGGTCTTATATGTGATTTAAGATAAGTCTGTGAAATTTGGTAAAAAACGGACTTGAAACGACATGAATCGCATCATTTTTGAGAAAATTGGAAATTTGAAGTTCTTAAGAAAATTTCATGATTTTGATGCTAAATTTATAGTTGTTGATGTTATTTTAGTGATTTGAATGCACGAGCGAGTCTGTATGATGCTTTTAGGTTGGTGTGCATATTTGGTTTGGAGCCCCGAGGGCTCGGGTGAGTTTTGGATAGGCCACGGGGGTGGATTTTGGACTTGGAAAATTGAAGGTTTTTTAGTTGTTGCATTGCAGGTCTGCAGGCTTCGCATTTGCGAAGCCTGGCTCGCAAATGCGATATCGCAAATGCGAGAGGCTTATCACAAATGCGAAAGAAGACCAGGCCAGCCAGCCTCGCAATTGCGAGGATTCCATCGCAAATGCGATGCCCCCCCCCCCCCAGCCTATTGTCGCAAATGCGACACTTTGTTCGCATTTCCCAACCCACTTCGCAATTCCCAATATAGCAGAGGTCGGGGTCCGCAATTGCGAACCCCTGTTCGCATTTTCCATGTCTGCGACCTGCAACTTTTATACTTAGCCGAAATTCAACCATTTTTCACATCTTTTCAAAACACAAACTCCCTAGGGCGATTTTCCAATAACAACTCTTCTTCCAAATCGATTGTAAGTCAATTTTAACTCGTTTCCTTCAATCATTAACATCTTTTAACATGATTTCAACTCAAAATCAATGATTTTCATGGGGGAATTTGGGTGTTTTGGGTAGAACCTAGGTTTTTCAAAGTTGGGGATTTGGACCTCGATTTGAGGTCCGATTTCAAAACAAATTATATATTTGGGTTCGTGGGGGAATGGGTAATCGGATTTTGGTTCGAACCTCGGGTTTTGACCATGTGGGCCCGGGGGCGACTTTTGACTTTTTGGGTAAAACTCATTTTCATGCATCGGGGTTGATTCATTTAGCGTTTATTAATGTAATTAAGTAACTTGTGACTAGATACGAGCGAATTGGTGGTGGAATCAAGGGGTAATGCTATAATTGAAACGTGACTTGTTTTGTGGCATCGAGGTAAGTGTTTTGTCTAACCTTAGCTTGAGGGATTAGGAGTCGTGTCTTATTTGCTACGTGTTAATTGTGGAGTACGACGTATAGGCATGGTGACGAGTATCTATACGTCGGTGTCAAGCATGCCCGTGAGTCTTGTATTATAATTGTTATGACCCCGTCGTGGTTTATTGTGCCTCACATGTTACTATCCTCATTGTTCCTTTGCCGGGATGTTTGTTTTGATATTATTATTCCCTTGTCGGGATGTTGTTGAAATATTATTATTCCCTTGACGGGATGTTGTTATATTGTTCTTGTTCCCTTTCCGGGATGTTGTTATATTGCTCTTGTTCCCTTGCCGGGATTCTTTGTGGTTGCTGTTGAATTGCTCTTATTTAACATTTTTCCCTGTATTCACATTATTGTTTTTAATTGTTAAAGAGTATAAAATGGGTGAAAAGGTAATTTGTTAAATATTCGGCTTGCCTAGCTCACATTAGTAGGCGCCATCACGACTCCCGAGGGTGGGAAATCTGGGTCGTGACAAGTTGGTATCAGAGCTCTAGGTTGCATGGGTCTCACAGTTCACAAACAAGCTTAGTAGAGTCTGAGGGATCGGTACGGAGACGTCTGTATTTATCCCCAGAGGCTACCGAGTTAGGAAAAGTTTCACATCTATTCTTTCCTGTCGTGCGGTTTGGTTTCTCAATGCTGATTGAATTTCTATTCTGTTCTCTCGCAGATGCCGAGAACGCGCTCCCTCATCTGCTGACCAGCAGCCTGAGCCCCCAGCAGCAGCTCCTACGAGGGGCAGAGGGCGAGGCCGAGCTCGTGCTAGAGGCCGAGGTAGGGGCAGAGCTTAGTCCCGAGCAGCAGCACCAGCAACGGAGCCTCAGGTTGACTTTGATGACGAGGTTCCGGCCCCAGCAGTTTCGGTGGGCCCAGCTCAGGTCCCAGAGGGGTTTATTGCTACCCCAGTACTCCAGGATGCTCTGGTCCGTCTAGTGGGCCTTATGGAGAGTGTCACCCGGGCAGGCTTGCTTCTTGTCGCACCAGCCGTCTCTCAGGCTGGAGGAGGAGCCCAGACTCCTGCTACTCGCACTCCGGAGCAGGTAGCTCCCCT